GATTAATCACGATCCTGCTTAAAGCGCTTGACGTAAAAAGCTAATTTTTGGAAAACGGATTGATTTTAGGGTGTAGAGGTTCGATAAGAAGGGATTTTTCGAAACTCGAATTCTAAGGGGGTGAAACCACCCCTCAAATATTAGAATATTTTTTTTTATATTTTGTTTCGAAAAATCTGATTATTGATTAATCACGATCCTGCTTAAAGCGCTTGACGTAAAAAGCTAATTTTTGGAAAACGGATTGATTTTAGGGTGTAGAGGTTCGATAGGAAGGGATTTTTCGAAACTCGAATTCTAAGGGGGTGAAACCACCCCTCAAATATTAGAATATTTTTTATTTAAAAACCGGTGAGTTTTTGGGTAAAACTCTTAAACACGTATATTTTATTTTGTTGTTTTACATATTTTAAGGTTTTTTAAAAATTTATACAGGGTGTTTCATAAAATATGCCCATTGAGTAATCACGATTCTGATTAAACTGCTTGACGTTTAAAGCTGATTTTTGGCAAACGGATTGCCAGGGGGGGGTAGAGGTTCGATAAGGAGGGATTTCTCGAATCTCAAATTCCAAGAGGGTGAAAACGCCCCTCAAATATTACAATATTTGTTATTTAAAAAACTGTTAGTCTTTCGGGAAAACGCATTTTTTTACATATTTTGAAATTTTTTAAAAAATAATACAGGGTGTTCCAAAAAGTTGGGTAAATGATTAACCACGATTCTGCTTAAAGTGCTTGGCGTAAAAAGCTTATTTTTGGCAAACGGATTTTTTGAAAGTCAAATTCCAACGAGATGAAACTACCTCTCAAATATTACCAAGTTATGTAATAATATCGCCATATTGTTTTTTCTCATGCTGACATAAATGCGAGAAAATTTTATCCAGTTTGTATGTTAATGGAAATTCTTGCTTTGCTTTATCATCACCATTACAAATGATTAATTCGAGGCGAACGAAGTCGCGGGTACACGCTAGTTGAGACTATAAAACACACAAGTACGAGGTTTGTGTGATTTGATTGATATTTAAACCCGTGTATTTGCATATACTAGTTGTTTACGATATTCTCCGATGGTGGCAGCACCGGCGGAGAATGCACCAAGCCTATAGATAAGTAATCTAAATGTCTTTAAAAAGTTATCATACTATTTACTTTTTGGCTTATTTTGATGCTTAGTGAGAACCTCCTGATAGATGTTCAAATTTTCAAAATTTGTTGCTAATCAAATGAGCAAAATCAGAATAGTCACCAATTTCAATCATTTTGGATCGGTTTCTAGTTACACCCTGTATAAGTAAGTATCCATAGAAAGATATAAATCTCAGTTGTAGTAATTATTCCATGATGACTGCAGTAAGTGAGTAATGGAGCTACCCATATAGCAGTGAATGTATTGTTTTATTTACGATTGCATTAAAAGCATTAAAGATAGGATATACATAAATGTTTCATGATATATGAAACAGAAATTCTAATAAAATATACAGTGAGTTGTTAATATTCAGTAATATAATAATATTTTTCTTCGGACAAATAAATATTCTAACAATTTTTTTTTAAACTTATTATTTGCATTGAATTACTAAAAATATATTTATTTAAAGATTTTCTATATAGAAATACCGTATGATCGAAAAAAAACGGCGTCCACTTGGCTGAATTCGTTTACTCTATGAAATAAGCGAATTATATCGACAATATTATTATATCTGGTAATCTTCGAAAATTTGTAACATTTTTAAAAATAATCTAAAATATCAATATTCCATGAGTGTTTTGATCAAAAGTAAAAATGTAAAAGAATAAAAAAACCAACCAATATTTTCACGGTAATTAAAAAAAATATATATTTCCCTTTTGAGCAGCCTAAATATAGCTTTTATATTTATAATAATGATATACGATCTTGGTTAATATACCTACTTTTAATAAACAAGTGGCAACCTAGCATTTTTTTATTTGTTTACATCTGGTTTGTATATCTTGAGAATCTTCAATTTGTATAGTAAGGTTTGTCAATTTATAGTATTTAAATTCAATATTTTAGAATATACAGGGTGGTCCGAACTGTAATCCGGAAACTTCGGCAGCATATTCTGCAGATAAAAATATGTAAAAAAGTTCGTATAAATGTATGTCCTGAAATTCTTAGTTTCGGAGATACAAGGGTGTAGAAGTTTCATTTTTATTTCGATTTTTTCCAAATAATTTATGAAGTAACGTCAATATTTGGATGAAAATTGGTGTCTGAGAGTTTTTTGACATGAGAATTTTGATTTTAATGTCAATATGACTCCTATTTGTAGGGGACGTCACCTACATGTGTTTTAACTGTTTTAGTAGCTGTATAAAACTACTGAGTAAAAAAATATACATTTTCATGACTTTTTACGTAAAAAATGTCTCTTAGTAAAGATCGATGACATTTCCCATATAAAATGACAGCGATCTTCATTTCACAGCCATCGCTGACGCCGTTTTTATTCGATCATACAGTATATTCCTCTAATAAAATATATATAAAAAAATGCAACATTTGCAAGAATCTTAACTCCTCCAACGGTCACCAAGAAACTCGAAGAACCTTTTCAGGACATAAGACCGAGAAAAATCATAGATTTTCCTTGATTTAAGTAAGAACAATCTTGTCAGATTGTGACAGGATTTTTAACAGGACACTGTCTCCTCAATGAACACCTCAGTTGATTGAAACTAAGAAGAAACGGCGAATGCAGATTCTGTGGGGAAAATGGGGAAACACCAGTACACCTCATCACTGAGTGCGCCGAGACGACAACCATTCGTGCCATGAATTTTGGTATGACTAATATCGGAGATGGAGAACTAACCTCTGTAAAACCGTCCCAGATACTGGCTTTTGTCAAAGCCCTGGGACTGTATGATGAGTTATGATTCAAGAAAGGGGGACACAATGGACTCCCATTCAATCTACAAGGCTGTTGTAAATATTATCTCAAAGGTTAGGAAAATAAGTGGCAACATTGTTTTATAACGTATATATTTGGCTTTGGTATAATAAAGGCAGTCGTTCAAGCTGATGCTCATGAGAGTACGTTCGTTTGTATTATTTTTCCCGCCAAATGTTTTCTAATACATTATAACAACAGGTTATGTGCCCAGAACGTGTTTAAAAAGCGAAAAAATACAGAAATGAGTATTCTTGAGTGCTACACGATGGCAGTGAACTATTTATCTAGTGTTCCTCGGCTAACGGGTCGTGAAAATTACTCAGATTGGGCCTTTGCAGTGGAAAATGTGTTCGTCCTTGAGGGTCTGACGAAATGTCTTGATGGCTCTGAGACAGATTCTGTTGTAGTAAGTAAAGCCAAAGCTAAGTTAATTTTAACAGTTGATCCTACGTTATTTATCCATGTAAAGGACACTAAATCGGCTCAGAAACTAGAAAGAAGTGCTTTTAAACTGACTGAAAGACTATGAAGAGTTTATTGGAAGTTTGATGCTTGCTGGTTTAACCGACAAATATGAACCGATGGTTATTGCAATTGAACACTCAGGAATTGACATAACTGCAGATTCAATCAAGTCAAAATTGTTAGACATGCATCTAGATGGCGTTAGTGGGGCGTCAACGTCAAGTGCGGGTAGTGCGTTTGCGAGTAACATTTCGGGCAAATGGAATCATCGAAATGACAGCGGTCGTGGTAACAGTGGCAACAACGGAAAGCACAAAAATGTAAATAAAGGAAAAAGTGAGGTTATCTGCTATAGATGTAAGAAGATGGGGCATTTTATGAACCGATGTCCAGAGAAGAAAGCTTACAGTAAAGATAATACATCTAGTGCTTTTAATGCTGTTTTTCTTACTGGAAAATTTGAGAAATCAGACTGGTACATTGATTCAGGTTGCAGTGCTCATCTTACAGCTCAAAGAAATTGTTTAAAAAATGTAAGAGAAGTTCCAGTCAAGGAAATTACAGTGGCAAATGAGAATAGTTTAGCTATTGAATGTGGTGGTGACACAGAACTCACGACATTAGTGAAAAATAAGCAACATTTAATTAAAGTGAATGATGTGTTCTACGTACCGGACTTAATGACTAATTTATTGTCTGTGAGCCAGTTAATAAAGAATAATAACAGAGTTGTTTTTCACAAAACTGGGTGTAACATTTTTAATAGCAAAAACAGTAGCAGGATTAGTAGTCTCAGGAGAAATTTGGCACAGGCGTTTTGGACATTTAAATTACAAGTACCTGAATTCTATGAAGAATGGCTTAGTTGAGGGCTTTGATTATACAGGAAGTTTATCACAAAGTGACTCAGGCATTTGCGAAATCTGTTGTCAAGGTAAGCAAATGAGACTACCGTTTAATCATAAGGGGAAGAGAGCAAAATCTATTTTAGAAGTTATTCATGGGGACTTATGCGGTCCAATGGAAGTGACATCTATAGGGGGCTCAAGATATTTTATGATATTAGAAGATGACTATACGAGAATGGTGTTTACATATTTTCTTAAAAGTAAAGATGAAGCTTTTGAAAAATTCAAGGAGTTTAAAGAATATGTAGAAAATCAAAAAGGTGAACGAATAAAAGTTTTTCGTACTGATCAAGGGACAGAGTTTGATGGGAAGTTTTTTCAAGAGCATTATAAGAATCAAGGAATTTTGCATCAGCAAACAAATGCTTATACTCCGCAGCAAAATGGTATGAGTGAACGGATGAATAGAACCATAGTGGAAAAAGCTCGTTGTTTGTTATATGACGTAGACCTTGAAAAAAAATTTTGGGCGGAAGCTGTAGCAACAGCTGTTTATCTCAGAAATCGATCTGTAGTGTCAGGATTGAAGAAAACTCTATATGAATGTGGTTCAACAAGAGGCCAGATGTAAGTGGAACACGAATTTTTGGTAGCAATTTTTTAAAGAGAAAAGACAGAAATGGGATAAAAAGTCTGAAAAAATGTTTTTAGTTGGGTATAGTGACAATATAAAAGGCTATAGACTGTATGATCCGATAAGACAGAAAATAATAATCAGCAGAGACGTAGTAATTGAAGAAAGCATAAGAAAACCAAGAAACATAGAATATGAACTACAGAGATGCCTAACAAGGTTTTTATCTCTGAGACATTTGTGGCTGGAAAGTTATGAACATTATTTTGGACCGCGAATAGGTTTGTCATTTCTACTATTGTGTTCAACAGATCTTGGGTAAAATATTGAGAAAAATACTTATAGGGGGACAATATTTCAATTATATTCGACTGTTTAGGAATGTGCCACGGAAGCGGCGGTGTTATATATGTAATACCACGCCTCCACCTGATATCTTCTTTATACGTAAGGCCATTTTCGTTGCAGAATTGCTTGACCTGCGCCTTGGATATTCGCACAGTTGCAGTTTGTTCTGCAACCGGATTTGTACTACCTGCTTGATTATTTAGACCACCACCTTCTGTTTCCGCTACGTTTTCCGCACCCTCTTTCTCTTCGACGTTCTCCTCTTCTCTCAAACGTTTCCCCTCCTCCTCCCCAGCGTTCCCCTCTTCATGTATTTCTCCTTGATTTTCATCAGGGTCTCTTTCTTCAAACTCTTCAAAATCTAAAAAAAAACAAAAAACTTTCAAAGATATGAAATTTTAAAGCCAACATTTCAGCTTACCTCTAAAATCTAGTTCCTCATCACCTTCTTCTACGTCAAACCCTTCAATATCGGACATTTGATCTATTATATCTAACAGTTCTTGATCAGTAAGTGGCCTCTTTGAAGACATTGTACTACCTGTAAATGGAAATTATTTATAACCCTCCATTCACCATGTTCGTTAAAACGAACAAGAATGTTTTTTGGAAAAACTACCTAATTTTTTTGTTAAAATTACGTTTGGATATGACAAACGTCTTTTTTAAACTCCAATTACTTACATTAAAAAAAAACAATTACTTACCCTTATAATATAATAAAAAACACAAAAGTAAACATGCGAAATCAACCGTCAACTGATATTTATAGCACGCACTTGTTAAACCTCCTGGGAGTGGATGTTGCTCCGTAAAATCGACGCTAGCGCCAGTCGCAATAAATTTAGAGTACATGTTCGGTTTACCGAACGCGATGAATTAAAGGATATATTTCGAAAAGTTTATGCATATTTTTGTAAATAAAATTATTAGTACTAAAATAGTATTAAAATAAAGTACTTTATGCATATTTTTGTAAATACATATTTATACATAAAATTATATTCTAAAAGAATAAAGCAGTTGTAGAAAAATCAAAAAATATATTAAACGATCTCAAAGATATCATTTCTGTTGAATCGTACTAATCCTATTCTGGTTAACAATAGAATTATTTTTAAAAGTGAATTATTTACATACCATTTAACACCAAAGGTGCGATAATATGCATCTGCGTTTTAAGTTTATGAATGCCGTGTTATACAATCCGGTATTATTGATATGGAATATTTTACAAGATATTTCTGGTATTTAGTTTTAGAATTAATTGATATTAAAACACATACATTTAAGATAAGAATAAAATTCTATTTATTATTAGATTCAAAATTTACACAGCATATTTTCTCAATATGTAGTTCTATTAGTAGTATTGTATTTGACCATAATTTTTTTATCAGCTTGCTTGAGTTGGGATATATATTTAGGTATTCTCTTTGTAATTGGGCCCATTGTTGTCTATTATAGCACGTACCATGCTGTAATTTTTTTTGTGGTTCATCTATTGTCCGTCCTTCTTGCCAGGTGTCCTGCCCATTGCCACTTGAGGGATTTGATTCTGTGGATCTTTTGTCGTGTCCACTCTATTCTTTAACGGTCTCTCTTGGTTATTACCAGCATATTCCGTTCCAATGAGTGATGTGCGACCTGCAGTTTTCTTATGATGTCCGTTTTAAGTGTCCAAGTTTTGCATGCATAGTCATCACTGGCAGGACAAATTGGTCGCATGTTTTCTTTTTTTAGATAAAGTGGCATTCTAGATTTGAATATGATCGAGTTTCTTCAATAAGTACTCCATGCTAACTTGATTCTTCTGTTTATTTCTGGTAGGGGAGATCCCGAACTGTGTATTAGTTGTCCACAAATATATTTATTCTTCTAATGTATATATATTATATATCGTAGTCTCATAGTGTATTTCGTCTTTTTATGAAGATCCTAGGTCATTTCATGAAGCGTCGCGTCGGTTTGGTTAGGAGTTTAGTTATGTTATTAGGTTAGTTTTTTTCATTAAGTGACTAGGATCTTCATGAAAAGACGGAATAGACTATGAGACTACGACATTACCATATGGTCGAAAAAAAAACAACGCCAAAGACGGCTGGCAAATGACAATCCATTCTAATTTTGGCAAGGTCAATCTCTAGACATCATTTACTAAAAATTGACATAAAACTTAACACCCATTATAGAAAGATTAAAAAAGGGTAGAGCGTTTCCAGACACACAAATCTATTCCGAATAAATATTTTTATTCTAATTTTAAACTACACCATTTAAAAATCATTCTTACTCAGTATAAAAATAAATTACAAGCAGAGATTGTCATTCCCCACAAGTCTTTGACGCCACTTTTTTTCATTTTTTGGTAGTTTATAATTGTCGTAGACCTACATTTCATTTTTCAAGCCAAATTAAAATGCTGAATCAAACAGAAAAAGTAAAAAGATTTCAGTAGGTAATAAACCTTTAATATTCAAGATTAACTACTAAACGATATCGATTCTAAAAGGATGTAAAAAAATCAGATTCCGATAAGTAGTCAATTAAAGTTCTTTATTAGCGCTAAAATGTCAACTGGATCGAGAAAAAAACGCGCCTGTCAATACGAATGCCATAAATATGTTGCGAGCACTTGAGAAGATCGTTTCTTCATGGGTTTTTTAGCGCGTGACATTCCCATTCTTGTTCGAAGCAACTGATTTACTTTTTTCCTTACAAGGTTAAACTGTTAAGATTCGATTTTAGACCATATACGTAAAGGACTAATGGACACGCCTCGTCTAGTCTAGTTTTAACTTTGTGATTTTCATTGTGCTTTGTTTTTTGCAGTGTAGACTACGTGAATTTTTGAAAATTCAGGCTCTGAAATCTTGGCAAAATCCGGACTTATGTAATCCGGACTATGTATGTTAAAAAATACATTATCTATACTAATGGGCTAATACAGGGTGGCCCATCGAAAACGTTCCGCAAGGCATAACGGCTAGGGTATTCTTTTTTTCAAAAAATCCAAAAACACGTCAATTTTGTTTGTGAGAGGGACAACTTTTGCCCCAAAAATGATTGCGAAATCTTCAACCCTCTGAGCGGGGGTGTCATCCCCCAACTTTTTTCAAATGGGAAGAGGGGTCAAGTGACACCGCAATAAAAAGAGCTTTCTATTCTCTATATTTCCCCGCCTCGTTTTGGAAAATCGGTCGAGTCATTGAGAAAATATGAGGTATTGAAATTTGAAAAGTTTATTTAAACATTTATCAGAGTAAACGATAAGGATAAATTCCTTCGACCAATTTGAGGTTGTTTCTTATTATTCCTAGATGTTTACGCATTTTTTCACTTGCCACAAGGTTAAACAATCAGGTGCGGTAGTTGCTAGATAGCTGTTCTGTGACTTGTGCATTGAAGTTCTTCTCAATATTGTTAAACTGACCTACAATAGAATTTTCAAAAATACCAGTCCACACGTTCAATTTGTGAGGGTTTTGTGTGTGCACCTCGTAAAAAACCCTGGGGTTGTCTTCAGCCCAGTACCGACCAGTTGTGCCGATTAACTACAAACTACACCGTTCAAAAAGAAAGTACACTCATCCAAAAAACACACATTAAATAGGAAATTATTATCATTCGCCACACTTCGTTGAGTGTTGAGTTCTTGTACCAACTGAATTTTGTACGCGTAGAACTTGCGTTTTTTTAATATCCTGTTGGACATTTGTACGATTCACGCCGGTCTCATTGGCTAATTTTCTTGTACTCAGCGTACTATCCATGGCAACTTGGCCCAAGACGAATACTTCCATAGCTTCATTTAGTACAGGATTTTTCCTCTGCCTCTTTTTATTCATAACGGAACCAGTTTCGCCATTTTTTTTCAAAAACAATTTTGCCATAAAGGTGTTTATCAGGATGGCGTTCATTGAATATCTGCGTAACCTGATTGCCACATTCATTATTTTTAAAATAAAGTTCGATTATTTCCACTTTTTCTGCAAGTGAGTACACCATAATAACAGTTAAAAAATTTAACGATAATTTAACAGCTATCTAGCAACTACCGCACCTGATCGTTCAATCTTGTGGCAAGTGAAAAAATGCTTAAACATCTAGAAATAATAAGAAAAAACAGCAAATTGGTCGAAGGAATTTATCCTTATCATTTACTCTGATAAATGTTTAAATAAACTTGTCAAATTTCAATCCTTCATATTTTCTCAATGACTCTACCGATTTTCAAAAACGAAGCGGGGAAATATAGAGAATAGAAAGCTCTTTTCATTGCGGCGCCACTTGACCCCCCTTCCCATTTGAAAAAAATTGGGGGATGACACCCCCGCTTAGAGGGTTGAAGATTTTGCAATCATTTTCGGGGCAAAAGTTGTCCCCCTCACAAACAAAATTGATGTGTTTTTGGATTTTCTGAAAAAAAAATTACCCTGCCCGTTATGCCTTGCGGAACGTTTTCGATGGACCACACTGTATTTGTATTAACACAGTCGCTAGAAATTTTTTTTTGGATACTATTGTATTAAATGACCAGTCTATGAATTGGCGTTTTTTTTTGTAAAAAACGCCTTTTGCACAAAGTTGGCACGCGTTTCCATTAAAATGGGGCAAATATTAAAAAAAGCCGAAGAAGCACGACAAGCGTTACTTCCATCTAAAAGTGAATCCATTTACCAAAAGCCATATAAAAAGTACCTTCAGTGGTTGGGACAGAAAAATATTGTAGCGGGAGATGTCGATGAAACTGATGTTCTCTTTTAAATTACTTATATGTGACATTGATGATGTAAATAAATTATTATGAATGCCCAACAAACGATAATAGATGAAATAGAGAGAAGACAGCTGGTATGGTATGGGCATGTAGAAAGAATAAGCGAGGACCGAATACCTAAGAAAGTCTTGAAATGGATACCATCAGAAAGGAGAAAAAAAAAGAAAGCCCAAAACCAACATGGATTGGAGGAGTACATAAAGCTATGTCGGAGAGGAATATTCATCGCTATGAACCCGAATTTATATACATAACAAATTATTTGAGTAGTTAGATGAATGTCCATTTTCATTTTATAAAAAGTATAAAACGCAATATAAGCAAAGTATTACTCAAAATCTCTATTGTATTTCATGGCTGTTACCTATAAAAGGCAGAGGGAATTATGGCATCTAAATTCCCGTTAATAATGTCCCAAGAAAGTTATGTACGGTGTCCCTTAAAAATCTGGACATTACCATCGATGTAAGTAATCTTTAGATGAAATGAGATCGGACCAAATGACCCCTCTTTATCACTAAAACAAACCATTCGAGGTGAACAAAATGGATCGAGGAATGTGGACAGATATAAAATTCCTTCAGGATGGACTAACTTGGTATACAGACGGTTCAAAGACCGCTGAAGGAACAGGAGCTGGAGTATTTGGGGAAAGTCCAAGGGCAAGCTTATCCTTTTCCTTGGGTAAACACTCAACCGTATTCCAGACAGAAATCTTCGCCATTCTACAATGTGCAAGAGAAAACAATAGAAGAGCTTATTCAGGTAAGCTCATCAATATATGCTCAGACAGTCAGGCGGCACTTGGGGCGCTTGTGAACCCAAAGGTATCGTCGAGACTCGTCTGGGAATGCCTGGGTGAACTGGGAGCTCTGGCACGAAGGAACAGAATTAAATTATTCTGGGTGCCGGGCCACAGCGGCATCCAAGGCAACACCGAAAAACCGATGAGCTAGCCAGGCAGGGATCATCGGCATCCTATCTTGGTCCAGAGCCAGTACTGGGAATACCCAAATGTATGGCCCGTAGTGCACTAAAACTCTGGATCAAGGAAAAGCACAATGTCCACTGGAGAAACAGACAGGGGCACAGGCACAG